AAGGACACAGGATGTGAAGCTCCCAGGAGTACGGCAATGATGAGGGTCTGTTCCAAGAGTTCATCATCGAGAAATGTTCAGGTTCCTCTCCCCGTGAGATGAGGAGCTATGGGAAAATATAACATTCTCTCTGCCAAAGTTCAGTAATACTTGTTGTTAGCACCTAGGAGGGTCTTTGCATTTTTAAGTGCTTTACAAACATTAGCTAGTCTTCAGAGCAACCCTGCGAGGTAGGTAAGGTATATTCTCCCCATCTTAACAGATGTGGAAACTGAGACACAGAGGGTCAAGTTCAACCCTGGTACAATTCCAGTGTTTTACATGAATTAAGTTCATTCAAAATTAACACAGTTTAAATAACTTGCCCTAGATTACAGAACAGGTAGTGGCAAAGCAGGGACAAGAACCCAGGAGTGCATGACTCCTCAGCTTGTTCCTGGCCACTTGGTCATTTTTACTCTCATAGGCAATGAAGAAACAGTATAATCTGGGCAATAACTACAGGTATGATTTGCTTCTGTAAGGCATGTGGATGGTAATCAACTGAGTTAAGTGCAGTAATACTTTATGAATGTGCTGCCTCAGAAGGTTCACTTAAACATGAAGTAAAACTTTCATGCTGTCATTTTCTGCAGGGGCGCTGTTGACAAAACCCCAACATGGCAGCTAGATTCAGCAAATAAATAATAAGCACAACACTTGGACAACTAAGCAAAACTACCATTCTAGCAAAAACCAATGTGTTTCTACTTTTAATTGTTAAATTTCTACAAGTGCAGCATGCAGATGAAACCTTTCCCTTTGTTTCCAGACTGCAGACGCCAGTCTTGCTACCGAAGCAGCCCAGAGCTGCACAGATATCCTGGATAGTGACATTCAAGTGAATACACTGGAGAAGAAGAAACAGTGTATTGCCACAGAATACGGGATAATTACTACACACCAGGTATATCAATCTTACATGAAGATGAGCTTGAAGTTTACAGGTTACTCAGACATACCCAGAAGCTGGGCTTATTGAAAATGTGCCCATGTGTAGACTGCAGTTCTAGGCACATGCTGATTGCAAGGGGAGGTCTCCGTGCCACCAACACTCTGGTAACCGGCCCCATCAGCAATCAGTTCATACTGGCACAGGTATGTCAGTCTGAAGGCCAGTGTTGGCCAAAGACAGCAAGACATGGAGGCCTTTTCAGGCCATGCGCTTGTGCTCCAGCCCTCACCCTGTGCCCTATCCCCACACATTCTACCACAAAAGGCCTGAAGAACTTTTCTGGTTTTAAAGATGAGCTGTGGAGTCCACAGTGTAGACCTTATGGCAGGTACCCAGGCAATAAAAACATTAGGACAGGTACTTATGCAAAAAAGCTTTTTTTCTAGGATGCCCTTATGCATCTAGTCTAAAGGTGAGACCTCCTGCCTGAGCTCTGGACATGCTTACGGATGTTCAGCCATGTGTGCTTTCACACCAGAAAGAGATCCTGCTCCCTTACAAGCCACACAAATGCTGACATTCACTTCTAGAGAAGCAAGTTCAAGCGCTATAATTATTGATGTCTTGTTCCACTTTTAACCTCAACTCAGTTTTGTTCTGTTCATATTTATGGAGACTGGCTATCGGACATGGCAAATGGAACAATCACCTACATGCATGTCCTTCACTGAATAAACACAGACCCTCAGATAGCACTTCCCTAGATATTCTCCACACTTATTATAACTTTTTAATTTGTAGCTATATTTGAAACAAACAGACAAACAAACAAATATACATTAATTAGAACTCTTAAAATCTAATCCCATCCTCCCTTCACCTATTCACTCCTGATTCATACAGCCTGCTTACAGTGGCTCAGAGCAGTACTGGTAACCAGCATTTACAAATAATTCCCCCAAGTGCTCGGGTCCATTCACCTGCCTCAACATTTTGACAATAGAAACCTTTAAATGAAGCAATATTCTTAATATCAGAGCCAAGCACCAAATCTGCAGCGTGACTCGGGCTCACAGGCAACTCTTACAACAGCAGTAAGATTCCAGTAAAATTGCAGTTGGTTGCAATCCAACCTTTATACTGTTATCTGTCGTTGAGATATATATAGACGACCCTGTGTGGCCTAACTGCAAATATCAAATGTATTTTTACAAGTTAGCAACAGCCTTTTTTGACATTGCCTCTTGAGATGTCCTCTACATTGTGACTGACAAGCACAAATATAATTCATTATACAGTATGCTTTAAATGCCTTTTTTTTTTTTTTTTACATTTGGCTTTTACTGTTGCTTGTTTCTGAGCTGTCTTCTAGTGCAGAGATTTGCTGTCCCTGGCCTTTTGGATTTCTTTCTTAGTTTTTAATTGCTGGTTGGACATGCTAGTGGCATCTCCCAGGCAAACGCTTTCTACATAATTAGTTTTGAAACTTGGATGAGTCACTGGGTTTTAACTACCATGCCTCTATTATTTTAAGTTGAATACCACACATCTCAAAGATTTTAGCCTCTTTTTGCAGTTGTGGAAATTCATAGGATGACCTGGTTACAGGTCTTGATCCACTTGCTTTCTATTGTGAGATTACTGAATTTTTTTCACAATATAAAGCACATTTCAAAGCATGACAGCTTGCAAGTTGTGAACCTGCCTCCTCTCGCAGTGGTGCAGATCACCTTCTGCTTTATTGGCAGCTGAATAAAGCAATGCCGTATTTATGACAGAAGTTAATGAAAATATGTAAAATTAAAAATACTTTGTGTAGTTTTCATTTTCTTTTAATACAAGTTGGCAAATGAAAAGAGAAGCGAGGAACAGAATGAAAAGAGCTGCAGAGGGCCGTGCTGGCTTTTATGGCCCATCAGTGATAACTCAAGAGGCCACAGTCTGGGAACTGCTGTTTCAGAAAATTCTAGCCAATCTCTTTAAGAGGCCACATGTGACCCTACCACAAATTATATACTAGCAGAATCATGACAGGCAAAGAACACGTAATTTTGTTAGGCCATTCTCATCATTCACTGAGAATCTAAAAGATCCAAACCATTGTAGTTAAAATGAGTTGAGACAAAAGATAAAATGAAGTGGGTATGATTTTCTTTTGGCTTATGCACTTTCATAGGGAAATTTTCACAAAGCTGACATTGGTACAAGACATATCAGTTCTTGGTTTCTGTGATGATTCTGACCCATATTAAGGATTTGACCCCTAGCTATAGTCCTTCCTATGTTTCCATTATAAGCAAAGGGGGCTTTGTCCTACAGAAGGCTATGAGACTGGACTCAAAACATTTTCCTGGGGTTCGGATGCCATGTCTGTGACAATGGGAAAGATCCAAGCAGAAATGTATTTCCACAATAGGGGCAAAGAGGCTGAGGTGAAGAGTCACTACGCTATTGTGCAGTCTGACACAATAGTTTTTTCTAAGGAAGTATCACTCTTCTTTTTGAAAATGGAGTATACAAGCAGTTTCTCACCTGAACTTCATGATGTAACCCCCTTGTGTAATATTATTGCACACTTGTTACTTGTTCTGTCAGACAAAATCAAAAGGCATTTGTTTAAAATCTGCACATAGATGCACATTTAGAAAAACATCTCTTTCTGTAGAAAGTTCAGTCTATAGTTAGCTGTTCATTGTGTGAGAAGGATAATACCTGGGTTGCTGTGATAGATACTGCTTTGGAAAATATGTCATAATTCTTGTCTTTGAATTGCCCCAAAACTTCTGAAAGAGGACTTCAAAACATCCAGCTGCAGCCACAACTAATCAGAATAGGAAAAGGTGGGGAATGATGAGAAAGTGCCAATACCCAGGACTTGTAGAGCCAGATTTGAGGTCCTGAACTCAGATTCGGCAGTACCTTCTGCAACTAATTTGAGGATGGTAAATCTGATAAGAGTGCTCTAATTACAGAGCAGAAGAAACCAGTTCCATGTAATTCTTTATAAGATGCAGAATGAGATCTCATGCATCAGTTACTGTCTTTACCTCCACAGAACTCCCACCGGGCTTGGCAGGGGCTTAGAGAAAGTCTGGCATCTGACTTCGACGCTAAAGGGCTGATTTGGGGGTGATTTACCAGGGAAGATAAAGGGGCCCCTCAGCAACCCCTTAACACAACAGATGTTCCTGCCATGCTGGGGGAAAAGCCATGCCATTATGCAATGCCCTTCTTCCCCCTGCCCCCGCTCCAAACTGGTTTGACCCCTTTCTGGTTCACTTATTTTACATATCCCTTTTATTTTATTTTAATAACCGAGTGGCTACACCAACCACTCACTTCCTGTCTAATTAAAGTCTCTCCATCAACTGTTAACTCTGTAATAATTTACAGCTGATTCTCCTCTCTGTTAAATCTATTGTTCCCTGGCTGAAAAGACTGCAAGACCTTAGAAACTATAGATAGCTATCGATTTGTTTGCATTTAAAATCCAGTATGTGGCTGCAAAGGCCTGTTACAGTATCACAGAAGATAAATGTCAGTGCATAATCTGCTAGGAAATGTCACACAGGAGTTCATTAAAAGTCTATGAGTAATCATTGCACAAGTGTCTTCAGGTGTATACATATATATTCTCATATATATGTAGCTAATACACCTATAGCTAGATATATAAATATATATATGTATATACAGAGCTAGTTTAAACCTAATTGTTATGAAATTAGTAAGTAGCATTCACAGTTCATGCATTCTTCCTAGTAGCAGAGCTAAATTATTTCAGCTTATACTCTAAGCAGCAACATACCAGTAAGCGTTTGCTTGCTTCCCCTGGTAACCTAGTAGTTTAAAGAGCACGAGCAGTTCTGCCGTGGTCATTTTCTCTGGCAACCCTCCACGAAGGAGACCTGGCATTTCCACAGGTGTGTTTCCCCAGGTTTCACAGCATCTTCAGGACATGGTGGGACCGGTTTGAGGGTCACCAGTCTGAAGGTCACTGGCCCGAGGGCCTCCAGCCCAAGGGTCACTGGTGTGGTGGTCGCTATCCCGAGGCTCGCCAGCATAGCTAGTCCTGCTTGCAGAGATCTGCGACGTTGAGAAACCTCCTGACAACCACAGCCAGGCAGAGCGTCAAGAGCAGCATATACCCCACGGTGCCCAGGTAGGTGGGGGCAGCCAGGGGGGCCTTGAGGAACTCAGCCAGGCCGTCCTCCACGTAGTGCACCTGGTCGTAGATGCTGAGGAACGTGAAGATGTGGAAAAGCTGGTGGCTGTGCCCCACGATGTCAAAGAGCCCTGGCTGGATCCGCTCGGGGATTTTGCTGACATTGAAGTAGCAGCCAGAAGTAGCGCCGGTAGAAGTAGACGAAGAGCGTGGGGTTGCGGGTGCGGAGGTCGAAGAGGAGGCTCTCCAGCATGATGGGGCAGGCCATGCTCAGCGGCATGGCAAAGACGAAGGTGC